CTTGCTCACACCCGTCACAGTTCCTGCAATGCCACACTGTGTTTTAGGCAGGCAGGTCCAAAGTATTTAAGGGACTGTGTCATGCTTGTTTTGAACATTATATTATTCCAGAAATCAGGCAAAGCAATACAAGCCACACAGCATGGCAAAAATCCAATTTTTGTAATGTCTCTCCATAAGCACACAGGTGAGTCCCCACTCCTCTGAATTTCTGCAGGAAGTTCACTTGCTGGACCACTGCAAGTTCTATAAATGAGATTATTTTGAGACAAGTGGACTTACTAAAAAGCAATTTTCAAAAGCAAACCTTAATAAACATCTTGGATCTGACTATTTCTATCAGCAGAACTTCACAAAGATAAACCCAAAAAAACAAGTAAAAGATCTTGCAGCCTGGCTTATGGGAATTTGCTGGTAATCTCAGCCTTTAAAATAATTCCTTGGTTTCTTACCACTGGATCTTTTCGATGTTTTAGATGAAGGAAAACCTTTTTCCTTTTGTGTCTGTTAAAATCATGTATAGTATGGTGAGCTCCAAACCTGAACTGCTACAGTGCAGCTTCGGTAAAGATGCCAGAGGCACCTTACGTAAAACTCTGGTCATGCATGTCAGCATTTCTCACTGCTGAACAATAAAATCCTAGAATCAGCTGCCTGGACTGACACAGAAGACTGAAAACTATCCTACAGATGAGGTCAGGGTATCAGTGCCTGTCAGAAAGGCAGGGAGTTGTCCTGACAGAAACTCAGCAACAGACATCACTCACTTTACGAGAATCTTGAAAGTTGCTTGGTAGGAAAGGAGACAAGGAGTGGGTAAAGGGGCATGAAAGGCATGAAAAGCAGAACCCAGCAACTGTATCGCATCAGCAGGAGATGCAACCTAAATAAATGTCAACACACAGCTGCTAGGACTACAGGAGAAGTGCTAAGCTAAGTTTAGCTAAGCTGAGCTTCCAGCTAAGCAGGAAGAGAGTAACAGATCAGGTCCAAGACAGCTCTGGGGACGCTGATTGACAGACAAGCCTCAGTACAGACCAAGAACACATTCTCCAACAGTCCAGGATTCAACCACCTTAAACAAATTTATCTCCACAAGGTATGGGATTAACAGCAGTATTGTTTTGTAAGTGGATGACTAAGGAGCAACAGGACTAACCTACCATCAGGCCTCAGTGACTGCAGGCAGGGACCTGACACACAACCTCCTCAAGCCCTGGGCTAGCCCTGCCTACAGAAATGCAGCCACCAGCTCCCAGAGAACAGCTCTGGAATACTGAAGTTGAGACCAGCAGCAGTGCTTCTGCTCCAACAGATAAGGACTTCAACCAGACAAGAGAATAACTTAACCAACAACAAAAAGAACAGCTTAATACCAAATAAGCTCAGAAAACTACAAGACACCTGGATGGAAGAAGTAGTATGAAGACATCTTAAGATGGACTCTTTGCAAAGAAGGTAATTATTTTAAATAAAAACATAAGCTTACTTTGTACCTCAGGAACAGACCCTGATCCAACATTGATACAGCTTGAAACGACTCCAATGATCAACATTTTAAGTTCTGTATTCTTATTTCCAAGGCAGAACCAGAAGGTGAACTGCAGAAGCAAAGACTTCCCAGTAACATCTCTCTGTAGAGCTGATCCTCAAACACCGACAGGAAGTGGATGAGAAGGTACTTAAGCCAAACTAGCCTGTACACCCCTGAATCCAACACCAGCTCCGCAGAAGGATAACCCAAAGCTGTACAAAATCTTCCTCTTGCTGTGAGATTTGACGAGATACAAGTGCATCAGACCTATTCCCAGTCCATCTCTTAATTAGGCTGCACGAAGCAACTTGAATTCCAACAGGTCATTTTCTACCTTGCCAAGCTACATTACTTGGCAGAGAAGTGATGCAATGAGACGTCATTACTCAAGAAAATGAAATCCCATTTATTCACATGGCCTTGAGCATACTAAATTATGCAATTTGGACATTCCTATGCAATGTGACATAGATTCATATATATTTCTCTTTCTCTATTGTTTCTAAATTAACATCTTGGAAACAAACATAAAATCCAAGCCCATTAACACCTTTGGCTTCTTTTTAAACTAGTCATTCCGAATTACCATCTTCAGATACGCAAGTATTATTCTCTTCACACTGTGAGATATGGGTGAAAGGGCAAGTCACACACCACAATTAAAAACATAAAACCTTGACAAATTCAACAGGCTCAGAGTTGTGTTGCTTGATGCTAAGTTCCAAAACAAACAAACAAAACCAACAACAAAAACAGCTACTATGTTTGGTCTTGTTTGTGAAGTAATACCGAAAAAGATCTCTTCTAAAGACAGTTGCCTTGCAGATTAACATTTCTGAAAGTGCAAAAATCCCCTTTTTGTCTATCTCATTCCTTAAGGTCACTAAATCCAGACCATCTGGATAATAAAGTTACCAACTCAGTTCCCTATTTATCTAATTAAAACTTCTGTACAGCTCATATGGAAAATTTGTCTACAGCTAAAAAACAACTGAAGTGTAAAAAGCAGCTGCAGGGAAATGATGTCACTGCAGGCAGAGCTGGCTGTCAGCACACTGGCACCAGGAAGATCCTGAGTTATTGTTAATCTCAGCTTTTGAGCCAAATATCCTATTTGGAAAAAAACCAAAACAAAAACAGAACACCCAAAAAACCACAAACAGAATTATATGGACCTTTCAGCCAAATCCTACTTGCAGTGAAGCATCAGTGGTAAATTTTCAGGAAGATCATTACTTCAAGTCTGCTATTTTGTACTATTTTTTTGTACAGAACTGGTCCACTTTTGTCAATAAAGGATGAATCTTCAGCTGCTTTCCCCACCAAAAACACAAGCAGCAACACTACACAAAGCAGTCTCTCTTCTCTCAGAGACAGAGACCAAGAGGACTTGTTTTTGCTAATTTTGACTGTTACTTATGTAAATGTAGATGGTGAGAAGACAGACATGAGTTTGGTCCAGCATGCAGCTCATATTTCCACAACCATCACCTTCAAGACAATTTTGTTTTATTTTACAAGCTGGTTAAGGATGCATTCTCTTAATGTTTTGTTCTGCAGGGTCATGCATTCTTATCTGGGCTAAAGACAAGTGCAGGAGAGGTGTCCTCCCTCTTTCCAGGAGATCCTTCTCCATCAGTAGGAAACAGAGGATATATACTATTTTTGGAATCCTGAAGACAAGGACTCAGGTTCAAGTCCTTTGCACAAAGTTTCCTAGTAATGCTCTAGCAGGTTACAGCTTTGCATACAGATCCTGTGACAAGCCAGTTCCCAGTAATCCCTTTTGCAATAACCAAACATCACCTTTCACCTGCAGTGTCTTCTGTAGTTTGTCCCTCAGAAATCAAGGGCTGCCTCCCCTCCTCTCCCAGAGAAAAAGGCATTTGCAAAATGAACAATAAATTCAACTGCTAACGCTTCTTCAAGACATTACACTCCTTCCTTATCAGTAAAATACCATCAGAAAATAAACACTTTCCTACAAGTTTTCACAGGGGTTTAAAAAAACACCCTAAAAGTTCATATCGTAACATATAAAGATGAAAGGATGTATAAAATGTAGCATATACTGATTTAACTGGGTGCATGACAAAGAAAAACTATTCCATAGCACCTACACACCTGCTGGATCTGAATTATAACTACAGTGTCATAGCCTGGAAACAAGTTTAAGAAACTGTTAGACACAAACATTGCGAGCAACGCACAAACATTAGACAAAACAGCTATTCCCAGACAATTCCAGATGCCTTACTATGTGCCCATGCACACATGCTCAAAGTAGATCATATTTAGCTTCTAATGGAAATGTGTGTGTGTAGAGAGAGAGAGAATGCAGAATTAACTGCTGCTTTTTTGCTCCTAGATCACAGACTATACTGGACTATGCTTCTAGCATCCCAAATAGGTGTCAGTTTTGGCATTGATAACACAATGCCATAATGCAGATCCAATAAATAAAACGACCCTACATTTTCCCCATGAACCCATCACAAGGACAGCCTTGCAATCCTGAGCCTGCAAAGCTACTTTAAAACTAGATCTTTGATATATAACATCGATGAGCAAACTACGAGCGGTTTGTAACCAAGCTCAGTTAACTTAGGTGGTAAGAATACGTTTACTGACTGAACTTGGTGGTTACTAAACATTAGACTGTAATAAAAAGATTCAGCAATAATGCAGAGAGAACTCTCCAAAACTAGGGAAAATTAGTCATGAAATATGTCAGCAAACTTCTCCAAAACGTTTTCCATTCTTTTACTCGCACATTTCACGTCGCTTCAGCCTACTTGGACTTAACCAGTGCGTGAAATTATCTCTTTTCTTATAGCTGTTCACGTTTTTCCCTGAGTAATTAGCAAGCTACATCCCCTTTGACAGAGGGACACTAACAAGCTCCTACAGTTTCCAGTAGGACAAGGAATCCAAAGCTACTAATAGCAAACAAGTCATTTAAACAAAAAAGGATTACGAAGACTCGTTGCAAGAGGCTGGAAACTCACCCATATTTCAGATTAAGGCTTTCTGAGGAGCTCTTTTGTAAAGAGTTTTGACTCCATCTTACAAAAATATTACATTGTTTTCTTTTAAAAACCAAAATATTGACTGGAATATCTCCTAAGAATTGCTGCTTTTTGAAAATATTTAAGTGCTAGAAAGATGGAGGAGTGTTTTCCAAAGGGAAAATGACGGAAACATTCGTTTTGTAACAAAACCTCCTCCGGAGATCTTACAGTTTAAAGGAAACAAAACTTACACAAACTTTTTTTTTTTTTAAAAAAAAAAAAAAGGTTTTCCATTCTTCACTACTGGGACACCAAAACAATCTGCAAATCAAGCCAAAATGCAATTTCTTTGCAAAATTTCATTGCCAAAATAAACCCGAGAACCATGTTCCTGGTAAATAAAGTACGTTTGGATGAGCGCAAGCTCCTGAGCGGAAAGGCAGAATGATGCGTACCTTGAGGACCTCCATGGGCACCTGGGTGGCAGGGGGCAGGCTGGTGGGCACGCTGACGTTGATGGCAGGTGTCTGGCTGACAGGTACTCGCTGCTGCATGAACTGGGCTGCTTGCTGCTTCTGCTGCTGCTCCCGACGCTCCTGCTCCTGCATCTGCTCACGCATGAGCTGCTGTCGTAGCAGGATTCGTGAGGTCATGCTGGAGGAGCTTAAGGGAGGCTTGGAAGCGCCAGGATGCTCGGAATTGCTGTGGGAAGACCAAGGGAAAAAAAAAAGACAGCTCAGTTTCCACAAGTGGGATGGCGGCTCCAGCGGTCGGAGCTGGTGGAGCTGCACCAGAGTGGGGCAGGATGGGTGAGGATACGCCGCACCGCGAGTGGGGGAATTCCACACCGACCTACTTCAGGTACTTAGCAGCCACATTAGGCTGCCTGAACTTGACTGCAGCTAACCAGTTCCCAACGCCAACAGCCAGCTGTAAAGAGCTACTTGCTCTTTTATTTTACAGCCATCACCCACGAGAAAAACATATGCTTTTATAGATAGCACCAGGCACTCATATTCCCTTTCTTAAAAAAAAAAGCAATGAAGGGTTGCAGCAAGTCTAGGGATTGGTATATATAATACTTCAGTCTAATAATCTAGCTCAAAAATGTACAGATAAAGTAAATCTACATCTCCCATGAAAATACAACATAATGAAGTCCAGTTATTTTCTGCACAATACTACCCTGGGGTTGGATTTGCTGGCAGTGACACTCTTCTGAGCTAGAAACCAGACCTCTACAAAAAACCTCCCACCCCAGGCCTACCAGCATCTTCTGAGTGCAGTGAGACACAACACAGGCAGAATAAACAATAGAAACAGCTTTATTCCACTCGTACTTCATGAACGGTATCAGGCTGGCCTGAGCCAGCACACAGCACTGCTTCACCACCTAAGAGCTACTTCTGAGCCACCCACTCGTACTTCATGAACGGTATCAGGTTGGCCTGAGCCAGCACACAACACTGCTTCACCACCTGAGAGCTACTTCTGAGCCATTGGCAAGCAGAACATGGGAAAGACCATGGGACTTGGCCATGGACTGCAGGGACACCTTCTGAACCAACTCATCGTTTTCTTAGGCCTCAAAACTAAAATCCGTTTGTAAGACATTCCTGTAGTGTAAGGCAGAACAATTAGGGTATGTAAACACGAAGCTGCACATCCTTCAAGGGAAGGATGTTGGAAGTGGGTAAGAACACATGACTCCATATAAGAAAGAGCTACAGTGTGCATAATTCAGGATATTTGGGTTCCTGTTCTGACTGCTGCCATCATTCATGGAAGAACAGGCCCTGCATCTACCATGATGCAGGGCCATGCCTGGGGAAGCCTCCTGCTCCATGAGGAGGCAGCACCTCAAAACCCCAGCTCTGGCTCCAGTGCTTAGGTGGTACCTGCAGGATGCTGACAGGACACAGTCTGGGATCCAGCATCCCCTCCAGGTCCTGCTTAGAGACTGCAGGCACCAAGAGCCAGCGCTGCTGGAAGTTCTTTGGCTTTGTTTAGGACTGATGTTGAACACAGTTCAGGGTAGAAACAAAGAAACAAAAACCAAAAAAAAAAAGGAGAACCCACACTTAACTGCCCCAAGAGATCAAACTGTGCTCTTCCAGAGCACACATTCTGGGGGCAGGGAGGCAGGGGACCATCTTGCTATTTAAGACCTGTCAGGTTGAAACATTCACAGAGACACTGATCCTTTTGATAAAACAAGAGAAAACCTTTGTGGTGAAACTAATGCAGCTGCGGAATAATCGTACTAATTAGCTGCTCAAGACAAGTCATTGACTGTGATACTTGTAAAAAACACTCTCCTTTCAATTAAGGGCGAAGCATTCTCACATCTAAACGCAGCAGCTTGTTCTGTGGCTGCACATCTGAACCACTTTCACATTTCCAAACTGAGGAGATGCTTTATTTCCATGACTAGGATAATTACAATCACTGGTCTCACAATGTTTTTGATTACGAATTCCTACCAGGAATGTTTGAGCATGCACCCTCAACACATGTATATTTATTTATTTATGAGTACATGTACTACTGAACTGCTAATATTCTATTCCTGCCCACCAATAACACTGTGCATCCCACACTGGAGACCACTGTAATACACAAGCAAAAAAAAAAGGCACTTAGATGCTGCTTTCAAGGAAGGATTCATTCTCCTCCTGTTGAAGGAAAGCCAATTTTGTATCACAGTAAGCAGCATTTTTATTTGTGTGCTACTGGCATTTTTTACAAATAGCTAATAATGCAAGATCGGTAACCCAGCAGTTCCTCCCACATTCTTTCATTTTGAACTGTTTCTCCTCCTACCAAAGCCATCTCAGAAGAACCTTCCCATATACGAAAACGTTGGGGAATACAAGGGAGAAGGAAGGAGAAATTATTTCCATATCATTTCAAACAGCTCCTGCCAGGAACCTCATCTCACTCATACAATTATTTTACCAACTTAGACCAAGTGTCCTTCCAGCATCCTGCCAGTGATTCAGGTCTGTACCATTGATTGAAAATTGTCAACAAAAGCTTCAAGTATTGTGCCTTTGAAAGAGAGTCCCAAAAATTGCTGTTCTGCCAAATTCTTCAAGGCTTTTTTTTTGATTTTGCAATTCAGCTCAATATTTCACATGGTATAGAGACACAAACCCTGAACACAGGCAGCACTTGGCAGCACTGTGCTGCCAGACCACAGCTACTGCCACAGCACCATAGCACCATTCAGGTTAGAAAAGAGCTCCTAGATCATCCAGTCCAACTGTTAACCCATCACTGCTGTTATTCCCTGGGGAGCTCTAAAGCTCCTCCCACACACAGGATGGTCTCCCCACACCAGCACTCCTTCCACTTGCCATGAGTGGCACTGTTCAAACGTGGAAAACTGTTTGAAGCTTTGGTATCTCATCTTCTAAGTCTGCCCCATGCACAACACAGGTTGTCCTCCAGCCCACCTGCCCTTCTCCACCATACCTGCTCCTCTTCTCAAGCACAGAACACTCCGAGGTGGAATGGAAGATGGTTTGGGTTTCATCACCATGTACACTCCACCAAGCAAACAGGAGGTTTGTCAAAAACTCACTTTTCCAATCAAAGAAGAGATTAAAAAACTTGTTATTTCAAAGGCTTCACACCAAGACAGTTTTGAAAATGCTTATTTTTAAACCTTTTTGACCATTACATGCTGCTGCACAGGGAGATGATGTCCTGTGATCAACCTCGGTGCCATGTACCCAGAACTGGACGTGTGGATTGAAAAACTCTCATACATGAATTGATTCACTCCCAGATTATGCAGAGCTGGTAACAGCCCACACACAGAACTGATACACGATGTGATTGAGATACTTCCTGCAAACAGTTTATGGAAACCATCTAATTGCAATAAATGAAACCGACTCATCCTTTTAATTGACACATGATTAAACCGGTTATCCATTAGCAGTGTAATAAGCACAGGGTAATACAGACTGGGAGTTATTAGTTATGTGTCATGTGCTGATCCAATTAATCATGAAGTGATACTATTTTATTAAATAAGTTTAAATTACATATCCTTTGCACAGATGCCTGGGAAATGTTAGTTACTGCACCAATGAGTTATAATGCAGGTGGCTGTTACATAATAAAAGGCAACTGATCAGATGAAAATCAAACTGCATTTTGTTGACATCAACTCCAGAGATTACAAAGACCATGTCTTTTAGAGCCTAAACTACCATCCCAGATGTGTACTGATTATTTTATCTCTGTCTCCTTGGGCAAAAAAACAAGCTCATCCTTGGTTGGCCAGTTTTGATTTCAGATTCTTAGACATTGATCAAACAAATTCTCTGGTTCACATGCATCAGTTGTGAGTTGTCTGGTTTACAAGCATTACTTTGCATGCACACCTATGTATTTGTTAAGAAATTTCCCTGGAGATACTGAACTGGAAAAAAACTACTTAACTCAACTTTGCTTTGTAATTACTGCTTTATAATTATTTTTTAAAGAAAAAATAAAAGCTTCCAATGCAAGGTTTCTCAGACAAAAGCACAGATCAATCCCTCAAACCCCAAGCTTCCTCAAACAGAGATGAACAAGAATGAAATAATATGCCTTATAAAAATAAAAGAGCTTTCAAAGCCACTTGCTCCGGGCAGGATGCACTACCCTGCTCTAAGCAGGGAAGTGGCACACACAAGGGAGGCTGCTGCTCTCCTCCATTCATGCCAACTGTTTGTTAATGGGCTAGTCCACAGAGAAATCAGCCAAGAAAAGCAGATTTAGCACCTCAAGAAATCCACGGAACTGCACCAGATCTCAGAGGTAAGAAATAACATGGGATTTAATCTCTTGTGTTTATGTCTTATCCTTATCTCATTCATAACTATTTATAGAGAAGACAGGCATCCACATTTAATTATCCAAGAGTAGCATGAAACTATCTTGATCTTTAAAGGCACCAGATGAGAGGTTGTCAATGCTGCAACTCAAATACTTAGCTTGACCTCCAGAAGGCATTTTCAGAAGAGACCACCACACAGCTCCCCTTCCAACACCCCTCTTGTTCCAATGACCACTCGGGTCTTCTCAAAAATAAAGTTGATTTATCCAAATTCTGTTCTCAGTCTCTCTACCAAGCAGTAAAACCTCAAGAAACTTTTTGTTCCCCGTACTACATATGTGGCTGAAGCAGCAACACTTGTAGCAGCATCTAACCTGCCAGTCAATATCACTGACACAGAGAGGGGTGACAGAGAAGGGAAGAAGACCAAAAGAAAAAACATTAATCCAAGAGGGAGCCAGATTACACACACATCACCACCACCCCTAGAAAAACACCAAGAAAACCCTACACAATCCCTTCTCCCCCATCTTCAGCCAAGGTAAGGATTTCAACTACTCCAGCATTTTCCCCAGAGCACTGTGTACTTCATTCCTAACATTTAATAACTGATTGTGGGTTCCAGCGACGCTCCACTCACCGCGCCAACCGCCTGGCACTGCCTGAAGTATCAATGTAAAAAAAAACAGCCCAAGATTTGGCACTCTCCTATGTCCTGACTTGCCAAGGACAGAGCAGTTACAAAAACGGTGTGGAGACCTTTATCAGCCTTTATAATAAAGCAAGGACTGTGTTTCAGGCTCCTACATGAAAGGTTTCCGCACTTAAAGGTTACATGTTTAAAGGAACAGGCTGCTGCTGCATCTGCTCCATCATCAAGGCAAACATCTTCTGTCCCTCCAGTGCTTTCATA